CTTTGAAAACAAGTCAAAAGAAATAAAACTATTCTATGTATTTACATTAAAATACTCTGTTATTGACTTGCTATGTGCCTGAAGGTAATTCTGAAACAGTGAGAGGTTTGTAGGTGCATTTTGTGCAATACTTCAAAGACAAAAATGAGGCAATGTGACTAAAATATTTTTTATAATAAGAGACACTTTCTTCTTCAAATTAAATAACAATTGGTGAGAGTGTTCAAAGGAGTGACATTAATCAAGATTCATTGTATTTATATACTAGCTTGTTGAATGGCAACTCCTTTGTACAACTACTTAAAAATAAAACTAAAAAATAAAATACAATGGCAAATGACATATGTGCAAATCAAACCATAGATTAGGTCCTAATGAATGTCAACTCTACAAATAAGCCAGTTCAACAAGTCTAAACTGGGAAGGAAAGTCATAATATTTCAGCCTTATCATTATAAGGTTGTCTAAGACATGATATTTTGGAAGTTTACAGAAGTATTTCAAATAAAAGTATTTCAAATAATATTCCATGCATATACCACACCAAGTACTTCAAATTTGCCTTCTATCTACTGGATGAGTATCTTTTATCCAAAATACTTGGGCCAGAAATGTTTCAGATTCGCAGTTTTTCCAGATTTTGGAATACTGGCACTCATATACTGAGAGAACTTGCGAATGAAAGATCAATTCTAACAAAGAAATTCATTTATGCTTCATATATACTGCACACACAGTAGTATTATATAATATTGTTCATAAACCTGTGTTTTAACTATCTACCTCCAAATAAAGGCTAGGCATAGAATTTTATATCTGTGGTCTCTCAAAATCTTTAGGTTGCTGAAATTTTCAGATTTTGGATTTTCAGATGTTCAACCTATATTACTCGATACAATTAAATACAGTAAGATATTTAGTTTAAATGATCCTTAAAGTGCAGAATTTGAACTCTTGGTAATTGGTCATTCAGAAAATTTGTCAAAGTGCATACTGAGGCAATTGGGTGCAGGAATGAAAAACATAAAATACACAGTTGGCTAGCATTAGTGTATAAGCACAAAGTCCTCAAGAGGTTATAACAACTTTATTTCTGGGAAAAAAACAGCCTCATTAAGTGAGTTTAAGGATAAGTAGAAAAATACAATTAATCTGTGTCATGTTACTGTGGATTGAAAACACACGAATCAGAACAGAAAATAGATTCTAGGTAAGAAAAAAAACGAAACAGCTGGTAGAAAGAAAGATTTTTTTAAAAAATCTCGTTTGCAGAAGAAATGATTACCTACATAAATAATCTGAAAGAATCTACAAAAGTTCCCAAAGTAAGTGCTTCAGATATATAAAAAATGCATTTCTAGCTGGGCACTGGTGGTTCATACATTAATTCTAGCAACTTAGGAAGCTGAGATCTGAGGAACCTGGTTTGAAACCAGCTGGGGTAGGAGAGTCCATGAAACTTTATCTCCAATTAATTATCAAAGAACCAAAGTGGAGCTGTGACTCAAGTGGTAGAGTGGTAGCCTTGAGCCAAAAGAAGCCTAGGTCCTGAGTTCAAGCCTCAGGACTGGCAAAGAAAAAAAAGAAAACACCAGCATTTGTATATAATAACAGTCATTATTTGAAAACCAAAACCAAAAAGACAATACCATATATGACTATTCCAAATAGAACTGAATACCTAAGTATATAATGAACAAAACACACAGAATTAGTATGCTGAAAATTATAAATTATTGATGATGAAAATAAAAGACAAACTCCATAAACAGGGTAACATATCATGTTCATCTAAAGAAAGACTTCAAACAATAAAGATGCTGATTCTTTCTAAACTGATCTACATATTTATTTCTTAAGGATAATTTCTATTTGTCAGCATTTTTAGATATACTCACATTTATTAAAGCATTTATATGGAAAAGCATAATGCCTAGAATAGCTAAAATAATTTGAAGAAAACAATAAAGTCTATCTGCTATCAGACCTATTATATAACTACAGTAATGAAGACAGTATGATAATGATGAAAAGAAAGTCATGCAGATCAATGGAATGGAAAATAAATTGAGAAACCTAACCAGAAAAATATAGCTATATGATTTTTGACTGGTGCAAAAGTAACTCAATGGAAAAGGAAGACTTTTGAACAAAAGCTGCTGCTTAAAGCAACTAGATATCCTTAGAATGGGAGGAAAAGAAGCATTTTGATCTAAATGTGACACTATATACACACAAAAAATAAAGTGGACCATAAAGTTAAATAAAAATAAATAGAAGGTTTTTAGGTCTTAATGTAGGCAAGGAATTGTAAGGTTTGATACCATCAGCCTACTTTATAAAAGTTGAAAAACTACATCTCATCAAAATTAAAAATACTTGCTCTGTAAAATATTTTGTTCAAAAAGGATAGAAAGACAAGCTATAAACTGGAGAAATTATTCTCAAACCACATATGTAACAAAGGACATATATCTAGGATACAGAATTCTGAAACCAACAGTAAAGAACCAATTCAGCTGGGTACTGGTGGCTCATGCCTATAATTCTAGCTACTCAGAAGACTGAGATCTGAGGATCGTGGTTCAAAGCCAGCCCAGACAGAAAAGTCCGTGAGACTCTTATCTCCATTGAACCACTGAAAAACAGAAGGGGCACTGAGGCTCAAATTGGTAGAGTGCTAGCCTTGAGCAAAAGAGCTCAGGGACAGCGCTGAGGCCCTGAGTTCAAGCCCCATGAGTGAAAAAAAATTCAATTAAATAATAAGAAAGTGACATAATTCATATTGCATTTCACTCAAAATGATATACAGATGGCAAATAAGCATATGAAAAGATACGTTAAAAATCAGCCATCTAGGAGATTTATATTCAAGCATGAAAAAGGTATCACTGCACACTTATCAGAATTCTAAAATAAGAAAAGTGATATCAAATTTTGGTGAAGATGTAGAAAAACTGAATCTTCCATATTATTCTTCATAAATTGGATTATTTTGGGTGGGAGCATGAAGTTGTAGAACTCTTCTGAAAAAGAGTTGGGTGTTTTATTTCAAAATTTAACATGTAATTATCCTATGGCACAGAAACACTTGGATATTTGTAACACATAATGAAAACTTTTATCCAGAGAAATGTTTATATCAGAAAAATACTAATTAAAAAAACCTATACACAATATTGGACAACAGTTATTTTTAGCAAATGTTTATAACAGAAAAATATTCATAAAAACCTGTATGCAATATTGGACCCCAGATTTATTTTCACCAGCCCATTTCTGGAAAAATCCCAGATATTTCTCAATGAGAGGATGATTAGAAACTTATGCTCCCACAGTGGAATACTACTAAACAAGAAAAAAATAAACAAGTGATATACACAAAAGTTGACAATTGGGCTGGGAAGGTGGCTCACTGGTAGAGCGCTTGTCTTGCATGTCTGAGGCCCTGGGTTTGATTCCTCAGCACCACATAAGCAAAAAGAAAAAAAGCCGGAAGTGGTGCTGTGGCTCAAGTGGTAGAGCGCTAGCCTTGAGCTGAAGAGCTGAGGGACAGCGCCCAGGCCCAGAGTTCAGGCCCCACGACTGGACAAAAAAAAAAAGTTGACAATTGATGCACACAACAACCAGGATGAATTTCTAGAATATTTTGCTAAGAAAAGCCAATGACAAAAGGTTTCTTAAAATGTAGTTCTATTTATATAACATTTTCAAAATGATAGGATTAAAGAGAAAACTGTTAGTGACTGCTAAGAGTCAGGGATTGGAGGTAGGAGCTAAGGAGGAAGACTATGAGGTATGGTTACAAAAGGGCAATAGCAAGAATCCTGAGGTAATAAACCTTTTCTAAGAATGTTGAAATCCCTACTTCCACCACTCTTGATTCTCAAATTGCATGTATGATCAAAGATTTTTACTGTATACTCCTTACTGGTTAATGCTCTACAAATGTGTTTGTATGCATTGCTCAGTGTAGACATTTATGTTAAATTTAGATGAATTAAAAATAATTATTACTTTAATTAGGAACTTTAAAAAACTGTGGTGGTGGATACATGAATCTATATATGTAATACAGTATGGAAAACTACACAAAACATAAACTCTATGACTGCAAAAGATAATATGAATTCAATAACACGTATGTAAAAAGGAGTAATGAGGAACTGGATATATACGGCTCAAGTAGTAGAATGCCAGATCTGAGCGAAAAAGACAAGTGAAAAGGCCCAGATTTCAAGCCTCAGGACTAGAACCAAAAAGCAAGTAAGAACAAAAGGCTAGGAACTTGTACTACACATTTCAGTATTTACAAAAGAATATGCATGAAGATAGTAGGGTATTTCCCTCAAGAAATGTCCAAGATCTATAAGATAGGTATAAGCTTATTTACTTGAAAAGAAATATAGTTTCAAAAAAATAAAGTTTCCTAGCTAACTAAAGTTACCTATTAAAATTATAAATTTTTATACTAGCAAAATGTACTTCAAACCCTCCTACTTGTCAAGTGAAGGATTGCAAACATTATTTAATTTATACCTGAAGACACTGAAACATAATTATGATCATTGATTGTTTGTTTTTGTGTATTTTGGGGTTTTTTTGGTCAGTTATGAGGTTTGAACTCAGGGCCTGGGTGTTCTTCCTGAGCTCTTTTGCTCAAGGCTAGGACTCTACCACTTTGAGCCACAGCACCACTTCTGGTTTTCTGGTGGTTAACTGGAGATAAGAGTGTCATGGTCTTTCCTGTCTGGGCTGGCTTCAAACCACAATCCTCAGATCTCAGCCTCCTGAGTAGCTAGGATTACAGGTGTGAGCCACCAATGTTCTCCTTCATTGATTGTTATACTGAGTTCAATAATATGGTGCTGACCTTAAAGGATCTCTTGGTACAAAAAGTCGTTTAAACAGCCAAGAGCACTCTGTAATTGCAGACGTTGTTGTTGGTTTCTTCCAAAGAACTAGAAGAAAAAGTTATCCTACATGAATGTGTTTCATACCTGGCAAAATAAAATACTTCCACATGTTGAATGGTTTTGTCCTTCCTGTTAAGCTCAATGGCTTCTTCACTGTCAAGGATATGCTCTTGCCATGAACTCTCAGTGACAGTGTCACTTTCTTCCTAAAAAAAACACAGATAATAAGTTCATTAATTGTAGGATCTGAATCTGCAATTTTTTGAGAATATGTATTTTAATCTCATCAGTACTAAAAGGATTATCACTGCACAAGAAATGAAGTGATTCCAGCAGAGAGTGCCAACTTTAAAAGAAGCAAACTGTAAAACCTATATTATCAAAATATAGAATTTGCTGGGGACTGGTAGTTCGCACCTGTAATCCTATCTAAAGCAGAAGCTGAGATCTGATGATTACGGTTCAAAGCCAGACTGGGCAAGAAACTCTTTGAAACTATTATCTCCAATTAACCACCAGAAAGCAGGAAGTGGAGTTGTGGCTAAAAGTGGTGAAGCGCTAGCCTTGAGCAAAAGAGCTCGGAGACAGCACTCAGACCCTGAGTTCAAGCCCCATGACCAACCAAAAAAAATTAGAATTAGTGTACACATTTTTTGTACATTGTGAATTTTTATGAAAAGTGCAGGATCCTGGATTCTATCTACTTCTGGATCATATTTAATTGTGATAGTGTATAAAACTTTTGTGTGTGTGCCAAACTCAGGGCCTGTGCATTGTCCCTGACCTTTTTTGGTCAGGGCTAGTGTTCTACCACTTGAACCATAGCTTCACTTCTGGTTTTTCGATGCTTTACTAGAGATAAGAGTCTCCCAGACTTTCCTACACAAACAAGCTTCTAATCTTGATCCTCAGATATCAATTTCCTGAAGAGCTAGGGTTACAGGCATGAGCCACCAGCATCCAGAATAAAACCATTTTTGAAAAGTACTTAGCACAATATAACTAATGATTTTTTCTCTTTTTTTGCCAGTCGTGAGGCCTGAAGGGTGCTGTCCCTCAGCTCTTCAGCTCAAGGCTAGCACTCTACTACTTGAGCCACAGTGCTACTTCTAGCTTTTTCTGCTTATGTGGTGCTAAGGAATCGAACCCAGGGCATCATGTATGCAAGGCGAGCACTCTATCACTGAGCCACCTTCCCAGCCCATAACTAAGAATTTTATAATAAGCAAATGCTGAACATTTTCTATTTGGAAAGACAATAACAAGAAATAATGAAGTATGCATATTAAAAGAGGTCCTTTAAATTTTTCAGAAATTCCTAATGACATTTTATAAAGAAAATTACATAATATAGCAATATTTGAATACAGTGGATTTTCAAAAGTAGCAAGATACAGTTTATACCTCTTTCAACTGGTAAGGGCCAGTTTTGGTGATAGTACTAGGGTTTTAATTCAAAGCCTTACACTCGCTTGTCTTTCTGGTTAAACGGCACTCTTAGCTTGGAATTTTGCTTAACTTGAAATTTTGTTTACATTTGGGCATTCTTACAGTGTAACCATGAAGTGGTATCAAGTATCTATGACTTAGTTTACACCAAATATAGCTATTTATGTTTTAACATACTCTGTACTAACATAACATCAAAAATAGCTGACAAGGCAACTGTGCATATTTTCCACAAATAACTGAACAAAATATATTATCAATCTTGTATTACAGAGGAAGATTAATATTTCTTCAATGCAAGTTATGTGACACAAAATAAAGTCTAGTAAATTAGAAGATAGGGATCAGATAAGAACTTACCTGATATTCTTTTAGCCAGGAAAGCAGTCCTGAAAAGCTAAAACTAGCCCAGTTTCCTCCATAATAGCTTCTTCTGTAACAATAAAAAATGAAAAGGATGTAAAAATATAAGCATCAATCTTCATCAAAGCACCCTCGACCCTTAACTCATTATATCTTCTAATATTGCTGCTTCAAAAGTTCAAAAGAACACATAAATGGAACACATAAATGGAATGCTGATATAAAAAGCTGAAAGAAAATTAGTACTCTCACCAGGTCATCACTGGACATACCAGTCATCTTAGAAACTCAGGATGCTGAGACCTGAGGAAGAATGTTCAAAGCTGGCCAAAAATAAAAATTAAAAACAAACAACAACAACAAAAAAAAACACTGGGAGACTCCTTTCCAATTAACCAGCAAAAAACATACTGAACCAGGTGCTGGTGGCCCATGGCTGTAATTTTATCTACACAAGAGACTGAGATCTGAGGATCAAGGTTTGAAGCCAGCCTAAATGCCGAAAATGGAGCTGTAGCTAAATGGTAGAATGGTTCACCTTTGAAGTAAAAGCTCAGGGACAGCCACCCAGGCCCTGAGTTCAAGTTCCAGGACCAGCAAAGAAAGCCAGACTATAGGCATAGTATACCTCAAGTAGTACACCACTAGCCATGCGCTAGAGCTGAACAAGTATGAGGCCCTAAATTTAAGCCTTTTACCATTGTGCATGCACATATGGTCGCACACATGAACGTATATGTACAAGAGCTTGCACACATGCATGCACATGCATGTAAGCATATACACATATCTCACATCCCAAAGGAAACTTTTCATTGTACAAGGAGTTAAAAAGTATCTTTGGCCTCCTCAGAGCTCTCTTCCTAGTAAACAGCCCTACAGTAGAAACTGGGCAGGTAACATGAATGAGCATGAATCCTGGATTGACAAAAATGGTTAAGAAGAGAGCCTTGGTTGATTTCAAAAAAGCCATAGAGAAACCAGTCATTGTTCTCTAAGCAGTTACATCTCTACCACAGCTATGTCACTTATCTATATACACAAATACTCATTCCTTTATTTTCTATTCAATTCTCCCCTCTTCTTCCTTCTGCAATCCTCTCCCTTAACTCTCTCCTTTCTACTCTCTGCTCTCTCTCTTTCTTTCTCTCTCACACACTAACAAATTGGCTGTTCTACATAAACTTGCATTCTAGAAGAGGGCATAGCTATTCACGTCAAGTTGTCCTAAAGAGAAGAGAAACAGAATTCCTAAAGATACCCGTTTGCGATTATTCTTCATTCTACAGTCATGTGAAGATCACTTCTGTTTTGAATAACACAGAGGTCTCCTAACTCTAAGATCATGTAAACTTTGTAGACAATAGACTTACTTGGAGACTTCTGGCAATTAGAAATCCTGCACTGACTACTGATTTTCCTAATTCTTGGGTGTGATTTTTTAAACAATCTTAGTGGTTTTAATACAGTCATGATATACAAACATCACTTTCTAGGTTCAAAATACATTCTTCACCCTGAAAGTAAATCCTATACCCTTTAAGCAGCTTCCTCCCATGCCTTTCTCCCTCTAGCCTTTGGCAGCCAGAGATGACATGCATTCTTTCTCTATAGGTTCATTCATTCTACACCATTCCTACTAAAAAAAGACATACAATATGTAAACTTGTGTCTAGCATCTTTCACTAAATCTGTTTTTACCATTCATCCACATTGTAGCATATATCAGTACTTTGTTCCTTTCTATGGTTGAGAAATATTGATTCATGTAGACATACCACTATACAAATATAACATTACACATATAAAACTATAGCTAGATAACTATATATTGTGAATGGATTGCATATTTTTAAGGTACATAAATCAGCTATGAAGTGCTAGGTTAATTTTGGTGAACTAATCTTCCACGTAACTGACAACCTTACTAGGAAACAATGATGGGCTGGCTGGGTGCCAGTGGATGGCGCCTGTAATTCTAGTTAATCAGGAAGCTGAGAGCTGAGGATTGTTGTTTGAAGCAGCTAGGGCAGGGGCAGGAAAGTCTGCAAGACTCTTATCTCCAATTAAACACCATAAAAAGCATCTAAATGGAGCGTTGGATCAAGTAGAAGAGAAGAACTAGACTTGAGGGGGAAAAAGCCTCAGAAGACAGCAGCCTGAGTTCAAGCCCTAGGACAGACAGACAAACATGGACACAAATATGATGGTATTCCTCAAACTATGGTGCAGTGGAGGTCTGGCTGTTTTGGAGCCCATACCCTCTCCACCGGGTTCTGAGACCTCTAGTGGAGCAGGCACAGGCACAGAGTTGAGGGTCAAGGTTGAGTGATTGTCCACTCCACCTATCGGGGGAATGGGCTGAGGCCATGCTAACAGGGTTGGTCCCTCAGCCAATCAGTATTGGAAGTGGAGTGGGAGGGTCAAATGGGCTACAATCCTTTCATGAGCAATTCACTGATGAGCAGTAGCAGCCTAATAATACAACTCTGGGGAGGGTATCCATGCTGGCAAGCACTGGTGTCCCTCCCTCTCCAGCCTACTCCCACGTTGGCCCCACCATAATGCCCAAAAAATAAGGTCAGCTACAATGAAGGGACAATGAAGAGGTCAAAAGAAGATCTGGACAGTTGTCTACTAATTCTGCCCCTGCAAAAATGGAAACCAAAGCAAAATAACAAAGGAAAAGAAAGAAAGAGAGAGAGAGGGAGAGGGAAAGAAAGAGAGAGAGAAAGAAAGAGAGAAAGAAAGACAGACAGAAAGAAAGAAAGGAAGGAAGGAAGGAAGGAAGGAAGGAAGGAAGGAAAGAGAGAAGGAAAGAGAGAAAAAGAAAAGAAGGGAAGGAGGGAGGGAGGGAAGAGGGAAGGGAAGGAGGGAAGGAAGGAAGGAAGGAGAGAGGGAGAGAGGGAGAAGGAATAAATACCTATACTTCTCCTGTGTGAATATATCACAGTTTAGTAATCCAGGTTACTTTTGGGTACCAATATTACTTTTATGAACTCATCTAGGAACTTCTGATCAACATTCCTTGGAACACAGTCCTATATGTCAATGAATGGTTTACATAAAAAACTGCTGAGTTAGAAAAAATGAGTATTTTCAACTTTAATCATGACTGACAAACCCTCAGATCACAGAACTGGATAATGACTCAGGATATGAATTCACCTGTTCCTACATGTATGGAAACAGTCATGGTTGCTTGAACTGGTACTGGAGTTTAGATGAATTAAGCTTCTTCTAAATTCCTATAAAGAATTATAATGCTATTCACACTTAGGTGATTGTATAATGAACTGCAACATATACTCAATCCCACCTACAAAATGCATTTGGTTCTGGTTGGGACAACTTCCTGGCTTTGTTTCCATATTCATATTTCTTCCTGTGTATCTTTCCCTAATGGAATAAAAATCTATAAAAGCTCACTTGATCATTAGATAAAAAAATAAATTTTTAATATTATGCCCAAAATTCTCTCATAATGATATTAAACATGGTCTCAAAATTCCAATACATGGGCTGGGAAGGTGGCTCAGTGGTAGAGAGCTTGCCTTACATGCTAGAGGCCCTGGGTTCGATTCCTCAGCACCACATAAGAAGAAAAAAAAGCCGGAAGTGGTGCTGTGGCTCAAGTGGTAGAGTGTTGGCCTTGAGCTGAAGAGCTGAGGGACAGTGCCCAGGCCCAGAGTTAGGCCCCACGACTGGACACCCCACCCCACCAAAAAAAATACCAATGCATTTCTTCTCAATCAATCATTGACACAGGTCTAAAGAATATTTTACTGTATAATTTAATCACCGTCTTGCTCTAACAGACAGAAGGGTCAAAACAAGCACTTGTGAAAGTAGGTCTAATAACACACTACTTTGATTCTATCAGATAGCTTTCTCAGAGGTAATGTAAGTCTATATGTTGTCCAAAATTTCCAGTTACCTTTAAATATCAGCTATTCAAGCGACTCTAGATGGCTAACCTTTGAAATAATGGAGTTGAAAAACCCATAAGCTGGAATCTCTGTGTAAGAGATCATGACAGTAGAAAGGATGCATGGTAAGTATAGAGAAGAGGATAAAAGAGATGAATGTTAGTAAAGGTAGTCTTCCCTTACATTGTTAATGTTTTGTTCAAGTCTGTTTCTTCTACTTTCCAGGCTATAAAAGAATAAGTACTATGTGTTAAGTGCTCTGTACTACATTTTGAGGTAAAGATGACAAGATAGGCATTACTTCAAAACATCATGTCTCTTGATATCCTAACTGCAAGTTAAATTCTGTGTTTATATTCCACATAATTCAGTCAATATGGATAAAGCTAGATCAATGCAATGCATGACTATGTTATGAACTTTAGAAGTCTCCTATTCTTAGTCCTTTGGATTCATATGATGAAAGAAAAGGATAGTGTTTTACTATTGTTCCTGATATAATCCTCTGTGAGGGTCTTTACACTGCTGCTATATTTACTGCTCTATCTCTCTTGTTTCAACCTGCTGTTCTGTGTATCACAGTATGACTCCTCTTCTTTAAACACTAGCACTAGCTAACTAATGGGTAATAATGCCAAGATAAAATAAAGTTTTGAATAATACATTCACACCAAAGAAACAACACTTGCAGTAGACAAAGATTTCTCAGGATATAAAAAGTAGTAAAACTGCCGGGCGCTGGTGGCTCACGCCTGTAATCCTAGCTACTCAGGAGGCTGAGATCTGAGGATCGCGGTTCAAAGCCAGCCCAGGCAGGAGAAACCGTGAGACTCCTATCTCCAATAAACCACCAGAAAACCGGAAGTGGCGCTGTAGCTCAAGTGGTAGAGCGCTTGCCTTGAGCTGAAGAGC